GCAGCCTGTTCTCTAGTTTGGTGTACAGCTGATGCTTTTCTCCACCCCTGACAACATCCCTTCTCATGTACTTTGAAGGGTCCCCTGGATGGAGTGTCACACTTTTATCTTCCCAGTGGGTGTGGACTTAAGAGAACATGTACTGAGGGTGCTGAAGAGCATACGCTCTTTAATCCACCTTGCAAACAATCAGTGGTCTTCGCAAGCAGAGCTGGGCACAGGATCTTTGAGGCTAATGGAGAAAGACAGCCCTGAGCTCACTGGTGAGAGGCTGTGGATCTCCTTTACTAACACTTACTGAGGAAAAACAGCAAACAGCCAAGTGGTGGCAGCACTATAAACCGCTTCAGTTGTTCAGTGAAAATGAGCCCGTGAGCCCATGACAGCAAAGGAAAAAGGAGTTTAAGGAGAAGAGAACCAAGTAGCATACGGAGGCTTCCTACACCTAAAACGTACCATGCCCTCGAAATATTTTTTTGAGTAAGGAAGAATAAAGCACTTGAAACCTTATGTCTGAATGTCAGTTTGATTGAATGGCCTTTTAGCAAAAGTCATCAGTAGCTTATCAGATTTTACTGATCTTGAATAATGCCACTAGTGCCAACACTATTATAGTATCACAGAGAAGTGACTGAGACAGCAGCTCTAGGACTGACTTTAAACTCTTCCAAATACTGGGCATTTCAAGGCAAGGTTTGGGTTCAAATCTATCTGTCCTGAGGAAAAACCCTTACCTTTTGTTGAGGTGCAGGCAGTTGTAGAGGTATAACCTGGAAACAGAAAGTGTAAACACTAATATTGAAAGAGAAACACACACACACAAAACAAACCCAACAAACAAACAAAACCCACCCCACCTATATGCTGCCAGAAAATGTTGAGAAAATTCTCCTTCTGCGATACATAATTTTGCCTGTGGGACTGTTTTAAGAGCCAGGGGACAAAGCTTCAGCTTTCCTGCGAATTAAAGGAGGTTAAAAATAATGAAGGAAAGAGAACTGCACAAGTGAAACTGCAAAAAAATGCACGGCTCATTTATGCCACCTACTGGATTTTTCCTGAAGTATCGTTCGATCCCTTTAGCTGTCACGATCATGTCTGCCACTCCAGTAAATAGCTACGTTCGCACGGGAGGCTACTAGCACAAGCAGACCAGCTGATACCAGGCCGATGACTTACATCAGTAGATGACATGCGCGGACTAACGTAGCTCCAGGACTGGAGATGGGGTCCGCTTCATACCTGTTTATTCTGCTAACTTGCTGGCTGTAGGGCACCCAAGACACCCAAAGCTGCAGGCAAGCACTTAAGTCCAGCACAGAGGAGTCTCACAGCCCGTCAGTGCCTCAGGGGAACATGCTGGCACCGTTTACCTCTTCTGCTCGACTCCCTCTGGCTGTATTTGATAGTTAGTTCTAAATGTCCAGAGTGTTTACGGACATGTTGATGTTCGCAAACAATGCAGGCTGGCAGTGTGAATGCCTTATTTCTGTCCTTCAGTACTCCTTGCAGCTGAGGCTCTGCTGGGAATCCACAACCAGCCTTGGTAATACAGCCTGTAAAATCACCTGGGAGAGCAAAAAATATCTGCTGTGAACAGAATGGCAAAAACCCCTGCAGCTTTACCCACTGAGAGAAAAAAGCAACCTAAACCAGAAAAAAACAAACCAAACCAAAAAACCTCACAAACCCAAACAACTCCCTGAAACAAACAAACAAACAAAAAACAAACAGGAAAACCACAAAAAGAAAACACAAAATCAAAACAACACCCCCCCCCCCCAGAAAAACAAACCACCAAAAAAAGCCAACAAACGAGAATCATAGATAAGAGATCTCTAAAACAGACTTACTAAATGCACTCAACCCTGTGGACTTCCGTGAAGCTAAAGGTCTTTGTTTTCCAGGCAATGGTGTCAGAACCGAACCCTCTTTATTATGTGACCTCTCTTTTGAGATGCTCTGTCATGCCAAACGTGGTGGGGACACAGCTTGTTCACATCTGTCCCTCAAAACAATGATCTCTTTAGCCAACAAAACATCTTTGCAAGGTTCAAGGGCTGAGCCACAGGCATGCATGGGCAAAAAACAGACTATCACTAATGGATGACATTTTGTATTTTAAAGAGATGTGCAAAAACCCAAAGCCAAATGATAAGTATCAGCTACCCAGGAAGAAAGTAAAAATGTAATTATTTTTTTTTTAATCAGAAACATTAATTAGTTATTTCCAAAGGTGCCAGCAAACTGCAGTACAGTTTACTCACTGACATCATCACTAGATTCAACTTAGAGATGCCCAGACTTACATTAAATTAATGACTATGATTTCCTGAAGACTTGCAGTAAGATTGCTCTGATTCCTGTTAGAATTGCTGGAAGTTTATAACCATTTATAACCTATTCCTTTGTGACTCCAGTGGATGTCAAACCCAGTAATGTGTTGCTATCCTCACAAAATGTCCATTAAAAAAACGAGACAAACATCACACACTAAAAACCATACCTAAAGTACAACTTAAGCCAGCAAAACCAAACCAATTCATTATAAAGGATTGATTATATACTTGCATTCATCAGGCATTTAAGCATTTTGGTGGTATCCATCCACAACACAAAATACTAGATAGGTATTACCAACATTAATATTTTGTTCCTCACCAACAGGTTCCCTGCATTATGGATAATGCAGGTCTGTGCAGTTAGCCTGAAAAGTAGAACTAGAAAATACTAGTTATGTAAAAGGCAGCTGAATTAATGTTCTTCTCAGAACTGTCGCATTTGTTGCATTTTGTGCTTCATCTCTGAGCTTGGCTGTCCCATTTAGTTTCCAGTGAAAAATCATATAACCAGCTGGTGACTGCTACTATCTCTCCTTTGTCTGTCTCTGTGTGCTTTATGCACTGTTTCTCTTCTCTCTGTTTTCACTGCTTCCAGTTTTTCTCTTTCTCCTCCTCCTTCTGCCATTTCTGATGTGCTCTTTCTTCTACCTTTTCATACTTCAGTTTGTTGGCCTTTATTTTACTTTGCCTTTCTTACTCTTTCGATTTAGCTTCCTTTCACTTCCTTTTTAGTTTGCATTTTCAATTGTTTTCAAGACATCTTGCATGTGAGCACTTGAAAATGTCCCCGTGTGTGTGCTCAACCACACAGAGAACTTCACAAACTGGAGTTTCACTCTCAAGACTCACTCCCAGACAACTTCAGCACCTGATCAACACCCCTATGAGTTGCAAGAATCTCAACTGGTTTCATTCAGTGAGGGATTTCTTGTTGCTATAGAGGAAGATAAGCATGCCAGTCTGCATTGTTCACTTCCTTAAATATCAGTGATATGCACCATTAAGTGTATACGCAAATCACATTCCCCCCCCCCCCCCCCCAATACTATATTCATCTTCTTCTCTTCTGCAGAAAAACGTGCCATTATGGACAGCAGAAATGTCAATCCCAGCAAAGCAATGCAAAGGAAGAAGTTTCAGTTTCTGTGAGTTGAATGATTGTTGTAACACCGTGCCAAACCTCACTTGAGGACCACCTGACAGCTTGAGACTGGGGCTTAACAGGATAAACTTAATTCAGTTTCTCCGGAGGATGGGAAGTGCCATAAATGTCTCCAATGCTGTAATGAAGGACAATGTTATTTAAATGTAACTTACTGAATGTTAACGCAAAGCATCAGGCAGCAAGGACCTGGAGCTTTCTTCAGGCTGGGATAGCCACTGGTTGTTTCTGCCAGGGAGGCTCAGTCTGAGCAGAATCAGCTGGGAGATAGCTATCTCAAGGAGGGAGACGCTTTCCTTGGCTTTTTCTAGCAGAAATAAATTTCTACCTACTGTAACTTATTACCATCTGATATGCTGAGTCATGAAGCTGGGCTTATAGAAATCTTTATGCAATCTTTATAAATCAGCCTCACATAATCTCAGGCTCTTTCTGCTTCATCTCTGTTGAGTCACTCATTTGACAGTTGTCATTCATCTTAGATTGCGATGTAATTTAATAGTTTCATTTCAGCATGAAGATAGCGTCATCTTAAGTTGAGCCTGGAAAGATTTAAAGGTGTAACAGAGAAAATATTAATACTGTAAATAATATCTGTAGAGCTGCATGGGTCTATAAATCACACAGTGCTAAGTTTGAAAGGGAACCTATGTAAGAAAGAAAAGCATCTTCCCCTGTCTTCCTCTGCAGATCATGGCTGCTCCAGCCACCCAGGCCTGCTCCAGAGGAGCTGGTTACCGAGTTGTCAACGCGGTGTCACTGCCTGTATTTGTTGGGATCACCTGCCCACCCAGATACCCATCGCAGTGTGTTAAACCTGGTGAGGGGCAGGAGCGCACGCTAACCTGCTCCAGCGAGGAGCCAGATTTCCCACGAAGGATAGCTTCTGAGCTGCGGCAACTCGGGTGTTTCACTTGGGGGTCACACCTCTCCCCGGGCCACGCCATGTTAACGCAGCCTGCTCAACCCAGGACAACACAGGGCTTAAACATGGCCGCTACAGCCCCCAGCTTGCTCTGCCACCTCCATAGATGGGGCCCGGGCCTGCTGCCACCTCCATAGATGGGGCCCGGGCCTGCCGCTGCCCCGGCAGGGCGGGAGGAGAGCTGTGGGAACGCAGGGCGGCGGCGGAGCCGCTTCGACCGGTGACCATTCGTCGTGCGGCACATGCGGGCAGAAGAACTGAGCCGGGCCCCCCGGGCCCCTCCACCGTCCCGCTGTGCACCCGACGGGGGCGCGCCGCCTGGTTAGGGCAAGAGCTCCCTATTCTCGCCGTGGGGCCGCCCAGGCTGGTCTGGCCGGAGGGAGGAGCGGGGAGATGGGGGTGGCCGCCCCCCCACCCCAGCGCCTGCCCCCCGGGGGAGAGAAGGCCGGGGGGTGGGGGGCGCGGCGGGAGAGGAGACGTCGGGCTACTGCCGGCCGCCGAAACGCGCGGGGTGGCGGGAAGAGACGAGGCAGGGCAGAGGCGCGCCGACCCCGAGGCCGGCTCTCCCGAGGCCGGCTCTCCCGAGGCCGGCGCGATGTCCAGTGACTCCCCGTCCTTCAGCAAGCGCTCGGACGGCGCGGGGCCGGGGGACAAGGCGGGCGGCTTCGGGAAGGTGGCGGCCCTCATGGCGCCCGCCCCAGCGGACAGGGACGCCGCCGCGGGCGGGAAGAAGCCGCCGCGTCTGCCCAAGTGTGCCCGCTGCCGTAACCACGGCTACTCCTCGCCGCTGAAGGGGCACAAGCGGTTCTGCATGTGGCGGGACTGCCAGTGCAAGAAGTGCAGCCTGATCGCCGAGCGGCAGCGGGTGATGGCAGCGCAGGTGAGCCCCGCGGGGCGGCCGCCTCGGCGAGGTCTGCCCGGGCCGGGTGGGCTGTACGCCCGGAGGGTGCCGGCGGCGGTGTCGGCTCCTCCGCTGCCGGCGGGGTCTGGCGCTCGCAGAGGCCGGCGGCGGGGCGGGGCGGCGCGTTCCTCAATTACTGGAGTAAAATATTTATGTATTTATTGTTTTTTAAATAAAAACAGGAGGTGCGGTGAAGGCGGGTAGGGTTAAGTCACGGTGAGCTAGTAGCGGCCGCGGCGGGCGTGTGAGGCTCACCCCGGAGCGCGCCTGACCGCTTGTCCGCGGTCCTGCCGCGCAAAACATGGTGCTAACGTTAACTTGCCGATTTCCAACTTGGTTTTAAGTAGGTAATGAATAATCTAGCCAAATAATTGGTTAGCCGGAGTGTTTTTCTGGTGGTTTTAGATTCAGTGTACTCGCTTTTCCTGGTAAGTTAGTTGACTACATCTATAAAATTACTTGTTTGTTGTTTGTTTGTTTGTTTGTTTTTTGTTTGGTTTGAGTTTTTAAACGGCGTTCTAGTTTTGCATAGAGCGGAACTGTAAACACCTGTGTAGCTGGGTCTTCTTAAAACTAAGGATGTAATAGCATTCGCTAAGAAACCAAGCTGCATCCAGTTCTGTGTAGGAATAACTTTTTTGTTAGGTAGTCCCGCTGAAGCCACAACTCTTAGGGGCAGGGTAGAAGACGGCTGTATTAGCCCTTACGATCCTTGTCTGGAAACTTTCATTAAGAACAGTTCTGGGAGTGTAATGGCTACCGGTGTGCTTCACTTCTGGGAGTGGGGCTGGGCGTTCTTGTTCGTGCGAATAGTAGTACTCGTGCAGGCGAAGTGCAAGACGTTAGGGCTGCTTGTGCGAGTGAAGGACTGGTATCGGACCCGCCATCAGTTTGCAGTTAACGTGTGCTCAGAGTTTGAGATCCCACATAAAACCAATGTCCCACTGACAGACTTTAAAACCTTTAGAAACACTGCATTACATCCTTCCGTACTTTTTTATTTAATTACTCAGTGCAGGTATGCTAAATGTCCTCTGAACCCACTGGGAGCTTGCATTCATTTATGTAATTCCTCCTTGACAGTTTCATGGCAGCCCAGAAATTGCTATTATATCCCAAGTTACATGCACCTTCTCTGCCTACTGCAAACCAGGGAATAACAAACATGGATCCTTTTGCTGCCTGCACTGGGGGAGGGAGCACAAAATGGGGTGTTCCCCACACAAATGTCCTCTTCTGCACAGACTGTTCTGCTGCTGCCCAGCAGCCTCTGCCAGGTGGTGACTGCCTCCTGCTAGTGGGTTCTGGAGGTGGACGTACTGGGGGTTTTCTCTTCCCTGCCTTGTATTTGAAAGCGGCTTTGAAAACCTCCCTAGCTAAACCTTATCTTTGTAGGAGTTACACATTGAAAGTCTGTCTTCCCCCTTCTGATGTATTTCTGCAGTAAGCCCCTTGGCACTGGTGGAATTTTACAGGTCAAGGTTGTTGGCTTGTGAAGTCAGTTACCCATGGTATTTGCAAGTCTATACCTCCTGTTTGGGATATCTCTATTGCAAGAGCTATTATTAATTTTTCTAATGGTATTTATTGCACATCTGTATTAGAAGAATGTTGCTGTTGAACACAGAAATGCAGGAAAGTCCTCTCCAAGTTACCCAGGAGAATTTTGAGCAAGAAAAGCAAATGGTCCCAGTCTGTAATCTGGGACAGATTTCCAAGGTTCAGATACACATGCAAATCAGTCACCTGGCAAGTTGCAGGTTAGGTATCTGTAAGGCCCCCATCATAGTCTGTATACCCCCTGGACATGTATCACAACTCGTCAGGTGTGCAGAACTGATCTGCCAGTTCAAATGAGGCAGAAGGGGTCCTCTGCATATTCAGTAAGCAACCAGTATGTTTCTCTGCACCCATGTCCAGACTGCATATGGTGTCTGTGGCCTTGGCCAGTGCTTGCTAGGCTTTGGAACGTCACCAGTGTTGGGAAAGAAATGGGGAGTTCCCGCTGCTCCAGGACTAACCAAGTAACTGCAGTATGTGTGACACTGGCTGAGATGCTTGCAGAATGATTACCCATGTTTGCTGTGCTTCTTCCATGGTGGCTGTCTATCCACAGTGTACTGTGCACTGAAATTTCCTTGAAAGGATAGATTTCTAGCAGAGGCAGTAAGGAAGACAAGCAGGCTTGTACAGAGCAGTAGATTGCAGGTGTAAGCTCTCACGAAGAGCTGCTTTATATTGGTGGAGAGGCACAGCGGAGTCCTGAAAAATGGTGAATTCTGCATTTTTCACAGTATGCTTTGCCCAAGAGCAGTGAGTGCAATCAGCTTTAATCCATCTTTGTGTGATGTCACTGAAGGAAGATGTATATGGCACTAACATTCATCATTTCATGTATGTTTGGGAGCCAAAACAGGTGATTTTGAATAGCCTTATAACCTCCTTTATATCTTCGTCTACCCACAGGCAGTAACATCAACACCATACAGAGTACTAAGAGTTAAAAACAGCCTTGAGTTCGAGTCATCTGTTGTTGCCATTATAATTTGTGCTCAAGCCGTAGAACATGCACTATGTCTTATCTTCTTGTTCTCAGGTTGCGCTGAGAAGGCAGCAAGCTCAGGAAGAGGAGCTGGGAATCAGCCACCCAGTGCCCCTGCCCAGTGCTCCTGAGACGTTCGTGAAGAAGAACAGTGGTGGCAGCTCTTGTCTCTTGCTGGAAAGCAGCAACCCTGCGCACTCTACAAGTACATCCATGACAGCAGGTAGCACACCATCAGGTAAAGTGCTGGGAGAGCGATGGTCACTGCTGCAGGCAAGGGTTGATGCTGCTTATGCGTACCTTTTTTCCCTCTCTGCAGCACTGGGGTTATGGAGAGTCCCTCTCCAAGAGTGGTGTTGCAATGTTGGTATGGTTAGCCAAAGGGTAGAACCCAGGATATCTTTTTCATATGTTAACTGATTATTTTTACTTCAAAATCAGAATTAGTTTGGTACAGACTGGCACTGTACCTGACTTAAATAAGGTGTGTACTTGCAGGTGGAGATTTATGAGCAGCTTTTCTCCTTTATCCCGAAACATGTTCCTTCCACAGTTGTCTGGTTGTGTATCCTCTTGAGAACTGGAGTTTTCAGCAGTGTACAGGAGCCAAGTATGTAGGTAATAGGATTGACCCCAGCAGCACAGATCTACCAACCTTACATGACTTTATGTGGTACTTTTGTGAGTTCTGGCTGGGTGTGATGAACTACAGAAAATGCTAGAAAGTCTGATTTTTTTCAGTGAGGAATACTACTTCAAAAGCATCAGAATATTTGTTTATTTATCATATGAAGATCTTCAGTATATATGAAAATGCCAGGTGTGATGTGACATGAAGTTCTTGGTTTAGGTATCAGGTTGTTTCAGGACCAGGTGCTCAAAGGATTCCTGTATCATTGTTTTATCGTTTTACTGGTACCCTCAACAGCAAGCAAAGCAAGAGACCCTGTGAGAGCAAATGTCACAGTGTCTCAGTTTGTTAGGCAGAGGTGCTGATTTTGCAAGAGTTTACAGTAATCGTTAAGGCAGGCAGAGAGCAAAACCCTTTGTGGTAGGAAGGTCAGCAGCTCCCTGCAAGCCCCAGGGGAACTGGTGGCTCCTGGGAGGGCAGCATCTCCTGTACAACATGCATTAAACTGGGCAACACATGGTTTTGACAGTGGTAATTCTGTTCCTCCTGTAAGCTTTTAGCTTCACAAGAGCAGTTTTTCTTTTGGACTCCCATCATGCAGAGCATTGTTTGCCAGCAGAGGAGTAATGTGTGAAGGAGTCACACAAATCAGACATAGTGCCAGAGAGAGTCTTTCCTCGCTGTATCCTTTTTATTGGCAGATCAGAAATACTGTGACACCTGGAGAGGCCAGAGACGATTTTTCAGATCCCTTCATGACATGCTGTTTTCAAAAAGGGGAAAAGTGAATTATCATTGCCACAGTGTAGGGGTTTGTGCATCTACTGTGTGACACTTGGAAACTGTCTGTACTTTGGATGGAGTGTTATCTTCCACACTCAAAAGCAAATTGGGAGTTCGCAAGCTATTTGGAAGGGAGCAGAACATGATCACGGGGCATTACCAGAAAAACTTCCAATCAGATTTTGCAGTTCCTGTTGCATTTACCCTTTTAAAAGTTCGTGGGATGCTGAGAGCAAAGGCCATTTAATTGTACAGAGCAACAAAAAATCGTGATCCCAGGGCATCTAAAGTAATTGTTTTTCCTTCTGTAGGGTAAGTACATCTTTTTAGGTTAACTAATGTGTAAAACTCAGAAAAAGACTATGGTGAGGCATTTAAAAACACGCCTTTCAGACATACGCGGTTTATAAAATCTGGGTTCTTCCCTGTTCCTCCTAAGACTTATTCTCCTTCACCAGCTTCATTGCCCTTTTCTGGACCTGCTCCAGCACCTCTGTCTTTTTGCTGCTCTGCACTCATACTGGCCTAATTTAGAAGTATCCCATATAGGCAGGATTACTGTATGATGCTAAATGCCAGCTCCTGCTCCTATGCTCTGCAGTGGTCAATTTCCCTTTGGCTTTGAAATGACCATTAATAATGGTGTTATTCAAGTGCCTTTGTAGTATCACTGGTTGACAAAGTAAACATATCATTGTCAGCAGTTGTGAGTAATAAGCTTGCACTTGCTATTTCCCTTTGCTACATTTATTACATGTGATGGAAACAAAATAGTGTTCTTTTTACGTTTCTTTAAGTGGGTGCTGCTTTCACTTTGAAACTCCTTGGGGAACAGATGGAGTTTTATCTGCTCATAAATACAGACTGTACGGGGGTCAACAGTAATAACTATGCCTAATGAATGATGGTACTGATATCCCTTTGAACTTGCAATGCCCTAGATGCCTCTGAAAACTATACTGTGCCTTCTTTACTCTTCTTTGCTTTTTTGGTGTTACCTTTTGCATTGACATTTTCTGTGACAGTGTATTGTGATTTCAGAAATGGATGCCATGACCTTGTAGATGTTATGTTGCATAGCTAAAGAGGTAAAAAAAAAAAAGTTGCTATAACTGGAATAAACCATGACCTATTTTTTTAAAGGGGGAGAAATTTTCTTTTTGAAAGGAAGCCCTTTTAAATCTTTACAGTATACTGTTACATCCTGTGAGAATTTCAGTTTTGTCAGAAAAGTCTCATTTTAGTCAGCTGATGCACAACATGAGGAAGCTGCCATGGACGTTTTGCTGTGAGAATGCTTAAGCATTGGAATGGTTTGCCCAGAGAGGCTGGGGAGACTCAAAACTCAGACAGATGGTCCGCAGGCAACATGACCCAACCCTGCTGTGAGAAGTTCGGGCTAGCTAGCCTCCAGAGGTCTTTTTTAAACTAAACTTTTCTGAGAATCTGTGAAATTTCCTACATTTTTTTGTATTGCTATTAAGTCAGCAGATTGAAATTTGAAGTTCAGCCAGACTCAGTGCTGCTCAGTATTTGCAAGCCTGGGAAAGGGATCCTGACTCTTTTGGCTAAAAGCACTTGATGACTACATCTGCAGTAGATTTCAACAGAAAATTAGCATCATGGGGGTTGACAGGTGGTAGAGAGGATTGCTAGTTCAGGTGGCAGCAGCCTCAGAAGGCCTGAGCACAAGTAAGGAGAAGGAAACATTAACTGCTTTACCTGCCTGTGCCAGGACTAACATGAAGGCTGCCTGTCCTCGGAGCTCTTGGTAGGTCTGCAGTGTGTACTAGTCCATTATTCTGCTCATTCGTTTTGCCTTTGTCTCCTTGTTACTTTCTAATGATGATTTTCTTTTGCTGCGCCCACTGCTACTTCACCAGATTTAAGTTGCTGGCTGCCTCCTGGTCCTGCCAACTCTCCTCCAATACCAAGAGCCAAGCAGCCCCATCCATTGCTTCGTGGTACTTTTCCTGAGCTTCACCCACAGCCAAGAAATCTCTGTTCAAAATAAAGAGCATAGTCGAACATGGTTTCTTTACTGGATTATAGAGCTGGCAAAGGAAGAAGTTTTGCATCCTTCACCTGTGAATAACTAATCCCTTTCTATCCATGACGTTTTTCTTCAGTTGGTTGCAGTTAAAATGACAGAATAAGAATCACATTTGCATACGCTTCTTGTAAGAGTTTATGAGAAACCTCACTTCCCTTGCATTGTCACTATTTCCACAGCACAAGTTAGACTTTGTATTGGGAAGTCATTGCTGGAGATGGTCTTCTGCATGTATGGCAATTTTCTCAAGTTGTTAAATCTCTTCCAGCTGGACTAAGTAAATATTCAGGAAGTGTTTCACTTTGAACTATTCTTCCTTCGTTTAGAGTAAAACTGTCTCCTAACAGGCTTTTTTAATTTCTGAACTGTAATAGCTATGTGATGAACAAAGCACTCTGCAGTGTAGTGGCCATGGCTTTGTAATTTTCAGTTCCTACTGAAATCACTTGAGTTTTGCTCAGAGGTGTTTAAAAAGGCATTGCTTGAGACGCAAGGGGGGTGTTTCTGTCTCTCCCCCCTGCTTTGGTTTTGCTGTACTTGGGAACGCGGCAAAGGAGTTTTGAGCATCTCATTATAAAAGGACATAGATAAATCTGAAACGATAGAGGGAAGGGTGACAAAAATGATGTACGGCTTGTAGAAAAGGAGACTAGAGTGGATATAACAGTCTATAAATATTTGAGAGGTAATAATATGGAGGAGGGGGAGGGATTATTTACAGTGCTTGAGACAGCATAACAAGGAGCAACGGCTTGAAACTAAAAGACAAAATTAAATTAGACAGTAGACACTTTTTCTCCTAACTAGAAATGCAATTAGCAATGGAGTGACCTGTATAAGGACAAGGGGGTAAGTGAAGCATAATCAGGAGAGGTGTTTAGGAGTGTGTTAGATTATGATCTCAAGTGATTAATACGGGGGTAAACTCTGATCAATGTGCAGATTAAACTAGATGACAGAAATCTCCTGCAGCTTTGTCATCTCCTGTATGATTCATTGCATATGGCCATTGTTGGACTGTTAAATGAATCATAATGTTACAGGGTTCTGCATCCCTGGCTAGATGTTTCCAGTTAATTCTCCAGTAGTTCTGGGGCCTGCAGCTTACAAAGCTTGCACTTTTCCTACTCCTCCTTTCAAGCAGTATTTGTCCATCGTCTTTGCAGATTCATGTATGTGTGTACGTATGTGTATGTGTCTGTGTTCTAACTGAACTAATGTCTGAAGTGCTGTAGGTGTTTATTCAGTGAGGCACAGACTCTGCCAAAAGTGTGATATTTCTGTTGTGCTGGTGAAGCAGGTAGGACTGGTGGCAGTTTTCGGAGTTAAGTCCAGAGTTAATAGAGAAGGTGTTTTTTTTTTCACTTTCAGGATTTCAGTCATATCTGAAGCTTCAGTGGAACTTTAAAAATAAATTCCTTGTGTAAAAGAGATTTGGAAAACTTCAGAGAAGATTGCTTTCTTTTTCTGTACAAGCGGTGTGTGGGGCTCATGCAGGGTCTAGGGAGAGCTTTTGGCAGTGTTACCAGGGAAGCAGGGGTGCTGCGGGACCAGCTGTGACCCACCCAGACCTGCATACTGTGAGAGAGAAGGGCTGCTCAGCCCCAGGGGGTGGAGGTGGAAACGCATGGGTGGCTCAGCAGGTGTCTCCATTCACATTTAAGAAGACCTTTTTTCTTCTAAAGAATTGGGAATAAGTTTTGTTCCCCCCCAAAAAAAAAAAAAAAAATCACCCTGGGCCTTTGCATGATGGCAGCATCATTCTGTGCAA